GTGACTCATAGTCAGTCTACCAGATGTACTCCAATAAAGACGTTTTAAAAGCACTATATCTCAATTCTCCATATTCTCACATTCTTTGGAAATTAGTCTGGAATAAATAACGATTCTGCGATGTTTTCGGGACGTTATGTTTTTCCGCGCCAGCTAGGCTGGATTGTAGAGCTAGAGTTGAACATGTTGATGTATTTACTCCAATTTAGATATGGGAAAAATTGCCAGGCTCCGTGAAGAACGAGTATGGAGAGCAATTTAAGGAGAATTGTAAGTTGAAGAGTTCAATATTTATTATTGATATTTTCTCTTTTTCAAACAAAACATAAATTTTCGAAGCAATCCAAAAAGAAAAGAAACAAATATGCGGATTATATACCGGAAAATTCCTTTTTCAAGAGACTAAAGCATGATGTGTTTGCCATAGCCCAATCTTTATCGTGCTTTCCTCATTATAGTCAAAATCGCGTGGCAGACTGGCGTAAATTTGGTGGCAAATCCGAACCTTCATTGGGTTGTTGATAGCTATGTCCATGCACTATTTGCTTCTTGGCCCAGACTCAGGTAAATGCGGGAACTTTTTAAAATTGATTTCTATTTTGTGAGCTGTTCATTTCCATCTGTTATTCAGATATGCACCAGGATGGGACGCAATATTTTGTTTCATACCCCTAAGTCTTCTTCCGACATCAGTTCAGGTAAGTGTTGCATTCTATAGGTTAAGATGCATCTGCCTTTTTCGATTTTTCAGTTGATGATTGCTATTTTTAGTTAAAAATGACTAATTGTAAGAGTATTCCAATGCTTGACCGTATGTTTTATATCAAAAAAGCTGAGAGGAACAGATACAATTTCTACAAATGCAGACGGTAGACGCAAGAGCATTGACAGCTTCGAAAAAATCGTAGCTGGACTCAGCTCCTTGTATGAAATGATACAATCAATTATATGTCATTTAAGAACTAAATACCAAGGTGACCTTGTCTGAAAACTCAAAAAAGTGGGCTATTATTTGTCATATCAACAGGCTTCTTGCGATGAAATCAGGGAAAGATCATATCAAAAACGGCTAGCTCTTGGTTGTTCGAGCAACGCAAACCCTTTAGCTGTTTCAAATATGCAACTCCTCTTTTGTATTCTCCTTTTTTGAAAAAGGGATCTTGTTTCCATTTTTT